ACTAACAATAATAATTTTAAAGCAGGTATATATAAAATAAATTGCCAGAACTGTTCCTCACAATACACTGGGGAAACTTGCAGAAATTAAAAAGTAACAGATCTATGAACGTAAAAATGCCCTTATACGCAACAATTTATCAAAAGCATTAATCATCTATAGAAATAAATTCGACCACAACTTTGACCTATCGAATGCCACACTTATTAAAAAAGAAAGTAGCTTACTTAGAAGGAAAATTCTCGAAAGTGCCGCTGTCGAATCTTATCAAAATATAAAACTGCGCCCTGGATTCTTCCCAATATTCCCTTTCCTGAAAGAATTATTACTATCCCAAGCCAAGACCCATGACCACAAAAATACAAAAAAAAAAAAAAAAAATTAAAGAAAGTGATTAAATTCTTAACCTCATGTTATTCAAAACATATAACATGTAAATCAATCTAAATCCAAAATAATTTAAAATTATTAAAAATAAACTCCTAAACTTTCGTTTATTGGACATTGAACTGTATCACCTCAAGTCTATTAATTTATCTGACGTTTCCGCTAACTTGATGAATATTCATGAGCACCCATATACCAAAAATTTTGAAAGACCAATAGCATTTTTTGCTCTTGTATATACATCCTTGTCACAAAATAAAAATAAAAGCCTTGCATTTGACCTGATAAAGTTCCTCAGATGACGAAACTCGTCAACGGAGATAAGTTTTCCTTTTGTCTTTATTCATATTGTCCTTTTACAGATATACTCTATATCTTTAATCAAAGGTTTGGTAAAATAATTTAGACATATGATAATCAATCCATTTTTATAGTAATGTTACCAACAATACATTTTTATAGTAAAATTAACAATACATTTTTATATTAAAATTACCAACAATATATATTTTATAGTAAAATGACAATCAATACAACACTAAAAAAAAGTATAAAAATACATTTTAATAGTAATAATACCACCAATACATTTTTTATAAAATATTACGACCAACAATACATTTTAGTGAAATTACTAGCAATGCATTCCAACTATAAACAGAAGGAAAATTTCTTTAAAAAAACTCATAAAAACTAATATACCTACCACTGATCCAAATAAAAAAAAAATAATTATATACTATACAAAATTTAATACAACCAACTTAGTTGTCCAAAACAATTCTTCTCAGCCAATTAGCATCTTTCAAAAGGCCAACATTGCATATCAATTTAAATGTCCTTTAGGTGATTGTATCTCTGATAAAAATGCCAATACGAACGTTGGCTTTACTACGACGATGCTAACAAAAAGGCTTACATTTCATTTGGCTGAGTATAGTTCACTAACTCAGCATTTAAAGGAACACTGATGCCTGCCCTCATAGATTAGACGAATATTAGTTAAAAATACATCTATATTACATAAAAACAATAATAAGCAAAAACTAAAATTCCTTGAAGTCATTTATATAAGAGAATTAAAGCCCAAAATAAATAAAGTCAACTATCTGTATAGCAACAAAATCCTTAAATGCCTTTTAAAAAAAATTATACATGTATGAGCAAAAATGGAAAGTTACTTCTTTTATACTGGAAAAAAAAACCCAAAACACGTGGACTTTGAACTTTGAAATCTAGAACGCTGCATAAGTATTAAAAACGAACAGTTGAAATGTTTTGAATTTACAAAAACACATGTACATACTCACAAACAACTTAATCCTCTGAAGATGGTCTCAGATGAGATTGAAAGTACTTGGGAAAGTACTTAAAAGAAAATTTTGGTATTTTTCTTAATCAATTTTCTGAGGCTACCAAGAAATTAATCCGTGAACTCGAAAGGATCACAGCGAAAACTAATCGACATGATATGTCTAAATTACTTAACCAAACCTGTTTGAATATATATATATATATATATATATATATATATATATATATATATATATATGTGTGTGTGTGTGTGTGTGTGTGTGTGTGTGTGTGTATGTATGTATGTATGTATATACCTTGGTTTTTCACTGGCAATGGCAGTGTACACAATGGATTAAAGGGAAAATGTTGTTCTTCTCCATGACAACGCAAGGATGCGTATCGCAAGAATAAAACTCTGTTGGTCTGTTCTACCCTACCCACCATATTCAACTGACCTTGCACCAACCGATTATTACCTTTTTGATCGCTGCCAAACACTTTAATAGGTAAAAACTTCTTAATGAAAACCAGGTTCATTAGTTTGGCGAGAACTTATTCGTATCAAAATCTGGGGATTTTTGCTGAAACGATAACAAACGATGTTTGATAAGTGGAAAAAAGTCATTGCAAATAATGGAAAATATATAATTAAGTAGAATATAATTGTACTTTAATTTTTGAAGTTTAAAGTTGATAAACAAAAATGGAAATTGTTTATACTTTAGCCTAATATTTACACATAAAAATTAGATGTCACTGAAAAAATATTCTGATACTCAAAAGAAAATAAAGGATTCTGTCCCATAAGTTAAAAGAGCTTCTTGCAACACCACATAAGCTTGAAACAGTTCATTTTGAAAAACTGATAAAATGAGATGATTTATAATATGAGTCTATCGAAATCTTTTCTAAGTAAGCCTATTTGGGGCTAAAATTCTACAGGACTAAAAACAATTATTCAAAAAACAAGGCTTAACTGGAACAAATATCCCCTTTCTTTTCTCTCTCTCTCTCTCTCTCTATCTATCTATCTATCTATATATATATATATATATATATATATATATATTGCTGATTGATTCTATGTATGATTATTTCTTTATATATAAAATATATGCTGTCTAATTTTATATGTTTATAAAAACAATTGATCCCGCAGTACGAAATTCCTGAGAATAAAACTACTAAGACATATCACTATATTAATTGAACTATATACTTAGTTCATGTCATGTTAACTGAAAAACACTTGAAAAAAAAAAGAATTCGTGGATTTATCATACTACAAAATTCATATAAAAATTCTCACTTGAAATTTTGAACTTTAGCGTTGCGACTAGCACGTTTCGTGATTGTACAGCCGTCAATATATATATAAGTCTGATATTCCGAAACAAATCCTTGTGGCTATTATACCATTGCTTTTATCACATCACACTTGCTACGAAGCTACCTTCTTCTATGATGAGATTGCAATGCTTCAGTTGCGTTGGACCAAGTGCATTGATGTTAAGGTTGACCCTTGAACCATAGTAAATGTCTTTTTTCTCTATCCTCTTTTGTGTGATGCTTAGAACTTTTTGAATGACCATCGTATATTTTTCGATCATCTTTCTGTGTGAATTTCAAAGATGAAATGTTAGTAGAAATTATACATTGATTATTTCAAACCAGTTTTTTTTTTGTCTTTGTTTCCTTATTATATCTCAACTGCATTACTTTCAGTGCTTCAAAGATGTCTGTCCTTTTTACCTTTCTGCGAATGCCGAACAGAAAACGTTTTTGATCTTCTGAAGTATATAGCTCTCATTCCTTTTACCTGTCACATCCGGTATCCTTGCTAAATATTGTAAGAATTCGCAAACGTCAATTCTTTCCTATGCTTTTGCCTCTCCGGTGTGTTGTGTGTTCCATCCTTGAGTCGAGTAATGCACATATATACGTTAACACTTTGGAGAAACGGGTTGGTATCAGAAGGTTGTTGGTTGATTTTGCTTAGCGGCATAACAAACTCTATTAGTTATTATTTAATGCCGAAATCTAAATATTTTGTACGTAATTTTATGCTTTCAACTGCAGATATTTTGTAGATAATTTTATATTTCCAGTGTAAAGATATGTTTTTAGATATATGGTTTGTAGATCATAAAATGTATTGTTGGTAATTTTACTATAAAAATGTATTTTTATATTATTTTTTTTTTAGTATTGCATTGTCATCTTTCAATAAAAATCTATTGTCGCTCATTTTATTATAAAAATGTACTGTTGATTTTTGCTCGGTGGGTTTACTATTTACCTATAGCTTGGACCTTAATAGGTGCTACCACCCCAGGTCAGGGTAGACCTGGGAACAACTACAATTAAGAGGTTGTTCCATGCTCCTTAAAACCTCTAATCTCCCGATCAGAGGCCTTGCTGCCGGATATAGTTTATCGTCATACCCAGGACATGTTTGTACTTTGAATATGGCTGTAGATTCATGCCTTTGACTATAGCCTTACTATAGCCTTAAGTGAACAAAAACTCATGTAGCTCTATCAAACTCTATGAGTTATTTATATTTATATTTATATTAGTTATTTATATTTATATCAAACTCAATGGATTATTTACTGCCGAAATCTAAATATTTTGTACGTAATTTTATGCTTTCAGGGTAAAAGGTATGTTTTTTCGGTATATATTTTGTAGGTCATAAAATGTATTGTTGATAATTTTACTATAAAAATGTATTGTTGGTTGATTTTTTTATAAAAATGTATTGTTGGTATTTTTACTATAAAAATGTACTTTTATACTTCTTTTAGTGTTGTATTGATTGTTATTTTACTATAAAAATGTATTGTTGGTAATTTTACTATAAAATATATTATTGTAATTTATTATAAAAATCTATTGATTGTCATTTTACTATAAAAATGTATTGTTGGTCATTTTACTATAAAAATGTATTGTTGGTCATTTTACTATAAACATGTACAGTTGATTTTTGTTTAGGTGTTCACTATTTACCCATAGCTGGGACCCTAACAAGTGCTACCACACCGAGTCAGGATAGACCTGGTGACAACATCAGTTAAGAGGTGGTTCCCCAAAACCTCTAATCTTCCGATCAGATACCTTGCTGCCGGATGTAGTTTATCGTCATACTCAGGACGAGGTATAAAGAAGGAAACATTACCTTACGAGTTTTTAACTTCTCTGAAAAGGATAACAGATATTAGTGTGAAAAAAAAAACACAAACTGCCTCTGCTGGCATTTGAACTCGACTCGCCGATTTCATTTTTGTGCTGTTAATTCTTATGCGCTTACTGCCATATTATGTTGAAATGCCGGTTCTCGTCCGATAACCGAAGTTAAGCTACGTTGAGCCTGGTCAGTACTTAGATGGATGACTGCTGGGGAACACCAGATGCTGTAATCTACACGACAAGCCTAGCAAGCCGGCAAGAGATACACTCTCACTACCTGTACTGACAGAAGATCTGTGGAGGTCCTTCTGGACTGATTAAATGCAAGACTCACCTAGAGTTGGATGAGGTGAGAGGAATTCTTTAACTATATGCACTTTTACTATACAATTCTCAGATAACAGTTACTGAAATTAACTGGGTGCTCTCAAAGATGGACGTAAAGTATAACGGCCAAAAATATGAGTTTTAAAATTAAATTTGTTTGAATTTGTCCGAAAAAAAAAAACAAGCTAGGTTAGAACTTAAAACTAATTGTTAGTATGATTCCGGGCAAAGGGAGATTTGTTAGGATAATAAAATATTGATTCAGTAGTCAGTTCGTTAATGAACGTAACTTAATGAAGGAATGATTTGAAAATGTTCAAACATGGCTTCCTGCAGAAATCAAGCAGTTTCTTTATAGAAGCCGCTATACTCAAGGTCACGTGACTCTAGAAGCAAAATTCAGGGAAGACATTTTCTTAATATTTACATAGAAAATTATACTTCAAAATCTTAACAGCTTCCGGGAAGATAATTTTCAGAATCCTATTATTAAGTAACAAGGCATCGCATTGCTAAATATCTCAAATCGATAGAAATCCCTCGAACCTAAACAGATAAGCAAAAGGTGTTAACAATAAAATAAATAAACATAGAAAAAGATCCGAAAATGATTCGCTTTTGTTTCATACACCATATTTAAACATTTGTTTTTATCAAATTATTTGCTTACACAGGTCACTGTTATCTCTTGTTTTTTCTTCTCTAAAATAGATACTTCTTTACTATCTACTGAATGGTGATATAGATAGATAGATAGATAGATAGATAGATAGATAGATAGATAGATAGATAGATAATGAATAAATTCGTCAATGAGGTTTTTGTCTTTATTTTTAGAGTATTTCTGATTCAAATTGCCATGCAGGAAGATATTCATTTTCCGACTCAATAACAGTATATTTTGTAAAAAAAAAATAGCATAAAGTAATCTAAAAAACATAAAAAGAAATAAGCTTCATGATATTGATACACTTATTTTTCAATTTTTTTAACTTCGTTTTTTTTCCACTTTTCTATTCGCCTGTTTTTCGCCGCCATTTCTGTACCACTCTGACTTCGTCCGCCATTTGCAAATCGAGATTATATCTCAATATTTTATGTTTTCTACTTTTGGACTTTTCCTCCCTCCCTCTCTCTATCTCTCTCTCTCTCTTTCTCTCTCTCTCTCTCTCTCTCTCTCTTTTTTAAAGTAAGAAAAAAATAAGAGAAACAAAACTAAAGTTAAAGAAAAGATAGAGAAATACTTTCTTTCGTTTTCACTCGTTTATATTACTTCTTTATCCTAATGTCTGAATCAATTCTCTCCACGCTTTTTGTTCCATTAATGTCATTCAATACCTTTCTTCTTTCACTTAATTTTTCCATTTCTCTCTCTTATCCCCCCCTCTCTCTCTCTCTCTCTCTCTCTCTCTCTCTCTCTCTCATCATATTTTTTTCTTTTTTAAACTCTTACTTCTTACTGTTTCTTCTCATGCATAATGTCATTATTCTACGTTATTCTTGCCTTAATGGCTTCTTTACTCTCTCTCTCTCTCTCTCTCTCTCTCTCTCTCTCTCTCTTAATGTAATTCTTCCACCCTCTTTTAATATCTTTCTTTCACTCTCTTAATGCCTTACGTTCATTATTTCCAGCCCGTTGATATAATTCTTTCTCTTTTTTCTCTCTCCATCTTTCTTTCTCCCTCACTTAATGTCATTCATTATCTTTCTTCCCTCTCTCTTAATGCCTTTCTTTCTTATTCTTTTCTCTCTTGATACCATTTTCATAATTATCGCTGTTAATGTCTTTCTTTTTCATTCTTCTGTCTATTAATAAATTTCTTGTTCTTCTTTTCCTTAACATCTTTCTTTCTCTTTTATTCTCGCTACTGATGTGCATCCTTCTCTTTCATATCTTTCTTAATATCTTTATTTCTCTTTTGATATTTTTCTTTCTTTTTCTTGTCATATTTTAGTGCTTTGCATTCTCTTTCCTCTATCGTAATATCTTTCTTTCGCTTTCTTTTCTATCGTTCTATCTTTCTTATTATTTCTCTATATACTTTTCTTTCTCTTTCCAATCGTTACATTTTTCTTTCTTTTCTCTTTTTGTCTTTCTTTCTATTTCTTTTCTCTCTCTCGTTCTTTCTGTTTCTTCTCTCTCTTAATAATAGTATTTCTCTTTATTCTCTCAACGTTTTTCGTTTTTTTTAACTCTCTATTTTGGCTTTCCTTCTCTTTCTTCTCCCTTTCTCTTCTTTGTTTCTCTTAATTCCTTTCTTTCGCTTTTTCTAGTCACTCGATATCTGTTTTCTTGTTATTTTTTAATATCGTACTTCTTCTTTTCTCTTTCTTTTCAAGTCTGTCTTTTACTTTCTTCTTACTCAACGTCTTTCTTTTTCTTTCTTCTCTATCTTATTTTCTCCTAGTTGATATATTTCATTCTTTCTCTCTCTCTCTCTCTCACGCACACACACACACACACACACTCTCTCTCTCTCTCTCTCTCTCTTTTTCAACATCTTTTTCTATTTCTTCTCTCTCATTTTACGTTTCTTGATGACGGTCTACCACTTCCTTCTCTCTCTTAATATATTTGTTCTTTCTTCTCCCTGTTAATATCTCTCTTTCTCTTTCTTTCCTCTCTGAATATCTTTCTTTTTCTTGCTTCTCTCTTTTGATACCATTTTCTCTTTCTTCTCTTTTTTCAAATTTTTTCTTCTCTTCCTTCTCTAATCTCTCTCTCTCTCTCTCTCCCTCTCAATGTCTTTCTTTTTCTTCTCCGTCATAATGTCATTATTTCTCGTCACTCTTCCAATATCTTTCTTTGTCTTTCTTCTCTCTCAATGTCTTTCTTTCTTTTTCTTCTCCGTCATAATGTCGTTATTTCTCTTCACTCTCAAAATATCTTCCTTTCTCTTTATTTTCACTATTATTGTCATTCTTTCGTTGTGGTCTCCCACTTAATTACTCTCCTCTCTCTCTTGATTTTCTTTTATCATTCTTATCTCTCTTCTTAAGTTTTTCCTCCTTCTTCACTCTCTTAATGACATAGCTTTCTTCGTTTTCTTACTTTCTTTCTTTTTCTTATCCCTATTAAGATATCTCTTTCCTTTTATTCTCTCTCAATCTCTTAACATATTTCTTTCTCTTTCTCTGTTCTCTTTTTCTTGTCACTTCACAATGTTTGTCTTCAATTTATTCTGTTTCTTGATATCATTATTTCATTTGCTGTCCTCTCTCTTAATGTCTTTTTTCTCTTCTCTCTATTAAGTTAATTCTTTCTCTTTCTTCTATCTCTTAATGTCTTACTTTCTATTTCGTCTCTCTCTCTCTTAATATCTTCCTTTCTCTTTTTTCTCTCTTTTAACGTCTTTCTTTCTATTTCTTCTCTTTCTTTCTCCCCTTTCGTCACGCCTTTCCTTATTCACCTTCTTCACTACACACTTTTATAGACATTCTGTTTTCTATTCCTTAATCTTTCTCTTTTCTTTTCCCCTAACCTTTCTTGTAATCTTTTCGTTCTGTGCTAAAATACATACTTACATACATTTATATATATATATATATATATATGTGTGTGTGTGTGTGTGTGTGTGTGTGTGTGTGTGTGTGTGTGTGTGTGTAGTCATCCACAAACAGACTGTTTCGCTATATCACAGCTCATCGGTGTGGCTATCAGGCCGGGACCGAAACCCGACAGATTTGGCATCAGTCAGAGATTTTTTATATATATATATTTATATATATATATATATATATATATATATATATATATATATATTCTGTCTAAGGTAGCTAATAGCAACAACGCGAATAGAAACATAAATATGAAAGAAGGATTGCTGCCTAAATACACAAATATATATGTGTGTGTGGGTGGGTGTTTGTGTGGGTGCGTGTATGCTACTACGAATGAGTTCGTAATCAAACATAAACGTCGCTTGTTGCATTTTTAAAAATTCATTTCACTGCATAATGTTAGCTCTATGTGATTTATTATTCTACTGGAATAAGTGCAATGACAAGGATGGAAATTACCAATACAACTTGTAACAAAGAAATTATTCTTATTGTGGATCCTGCATATATGCATATATATATATAAGAACACACGTCTACATACACATACATACACATGAATACACATAAATCCATCCATATATTTATATATATATGTGTGTGTGTGTGTGTGTGTAATCGCATTCTTTTTACGAAAGTGTTTATATAAATTATTATTTACACACATTATCATACATATTTGAATAGTGTATACATAGAAACAAGTTCACCTGACCGATCCATGTAAGGATGTTTTTCCTGTGTAGTTCTGTGTTTTTGTGTATGTGTGCGTGGGTGTGTGTAAAAATATGTTAGTTTTTGCATACATTGATATACATGTATGTGGGTGGCGTATTAGGTTTCTGTAATTATTGTCGAATGGTAACTAGATAAATAGGTAGCCTATGTCAGTATTGATAGAAAGGTCCTCTTCTTTTACTGCCTTTTGTCTTTACCCCTAGCTGACTTAGCAGGCACATATAAACATATGCATCTACGAGTTTCTTAATCTCCTTCTTTTGTGTGTGCTGCGTCCTTTCAGATCGTGTGCGATTATGACTCTCCACAACTTCCTATTTTTTGTAGATCGAAAGTTTGACTCTTTATCATCCTTTCTTGGCTTCCTTTACCACACATTCACACAAACTTGTTAGATCGGTTACTCGATGTTGCCTTCTTCTGATTTTACCTTCACTATGCCCTGTGAGTATTAAATTCTCCGAGCTCTCTTTCTTCATTACATGTCTCAGAAATTTTAACTGTCACTACTGAAGATTTATTTTAATCTATTTATATATGAAATAAAGAACTAATAAAGAATATTTTTTGTCTGAACTATTTTGAATAAATTAATCTTATCTATT